CTTTCACTTAGGTTGTGATCTCTCGGTTCATGGGTTCGAGCCCCGTGTCGGGCTCTGTGCTGACTGCCGGCTCAGAGCCTGGAGCCTGTTTCGGAGTCTGTGTCTCCCTCTCTCTCTGACCCTCCCCTGCTCACGCTGTCTCTCTCTCTCTCTCTCTCCTAGAAAAAAAATATTAAAAAAAAATAATAAAGAGAAACAAAAAATAAAATAAGACAGGGATAATAAAATTATAGGTATGTTGCATTGTTTTACTGCCTAGTCCAGTTGGGATTAAGGGTGGGGGGAGGGTGGTTGATGATGAGAAAAAAATTAATGTACTGAATATAGTCTATGACTCACATGCTTTTCACAGTTTCACACGTATCTGAAACTGACCACATCATAAAAACATAGTCATCCAGTAGGGACTGTGCCGAGGTTATTGTTGCCATAAACATGTGACTTTGGTGGTTACTACTTGGGACCTGTCTGGACAATGACCACCTCTTGCCATCTGACTCAACAAAACCGTAAAGGAAGGACCTTTAAAGGAAAGGAATACGTGTCCTGATCATCTGAAATCATTTTGATACCTGATACAGAGAGAAGGGACCAGTAGTCAAACCTGCAGAATGAACATAAAACAGGAAGACAATGTCAGCAATTGGATGGCGAAAGGGAAAGGTGGAGGGAGGCTTTCAAGAGCTATAGCGTCACCAAGGTTCTGGAGAGAAAAGAGTGTAGGGGGGAAAAGTGGACATCAGGGACTTTGATTTAGGAAAGCAGACCGCTGACACCAAGAAGCTTTGGGAATGCCTGAAACAACTTATTTTGTTGATAGTTCCTTTTTTTACACATGCATAAAAAAGATACATGATTTAAATCCCTACCTAAAGTCTCCAAGAGCTGCCATTAAATGGACAATAACAGTAGTAGTAATGACAAAAAAGCTCCACATTCTAAAATAAAAAGTTTATTTTAAAAAAAAGCATTCATTAATAGTAAAATGAAGGAAGTTTTCTGGTATATAAGACAATGTGCTCACAATTGGTTACTTAGATTTAGGGACAAACAGAATTTTAGGTTTGACATTGTGTCATTTGGCCACTAGAGGTGATAGACAATAATTTCCTAAGACAAGAGATAGTGATTTAGAGTTTATGTTAATGTTTCCCAAGGGGGAAAAAATCTGACTCCTTGCCTACTTTTGCACCAAATAGAAAACCAAATTGTCTTTTTTTTTTTTTTTTTTTTTTGAGAGACAGAGAGAGAGAGAGAGAGCATGAACAGGGAAGGGGAGAGGGAGAGGGAGAGAGATTCCCAAATAGGCATTCAGCTGAATGCACAGAGCCTGACATGGGACTAGATCCCAAGAACCATGAGATCATGACCTGGGCTGAAACCAAGAGTCAGATGGTGAATCGACTGAGCCACCCAGGTGCCCCTCAAACTATCTCACTATAAGAAAAGCTATTTAAAATTAATAAACTGTGATGTGGTTCATTAGTAAGTGAGTTTTTGTGTTTTATGTATCTCCATACAAACATATCACATGTTTATGTTGACCATAAGGCAAATTTGATGAGAGCTGAATTTTGAGAAGTTTCCCACATCAGTGAAAGGAGACATACCTTGATATGACCCATTTGCCTTTTATTGTGCTTCAAACATAAATCAAGAGTATCTTTGATAATTACCAATGTCCTAAGTACAAAATTTGTTCCTCTTAAATTTCAGTAAATAAATATATGATCATTTCCTATAAATACACTCATTTTCATCTGAATGGGAGTTGGTTTGTGATTTATAATGTTTCTAATTATGTAATTTTAATATAATACTGCATCAAATGGAATAGAGTGTGGTTTTTGTCATGATACAGTAAGAAAAAATTCTGTACGTTCAAGGTTTTTCCTCAAATATCTCTTTTGCATTTGTAACCAGAAAATCTGCTGTGAAATGCCATACGTTTCACCATTGCTCAACATTTGGCTTATGTAACTGATGTTTATTAGGGCTGCAGATCAAAATAGAGTCAGAAACTGGCATGTGGTAGAGAATGCTTATATTTATCTTTGGGTCTACATGTAATGATTTTTATTTTAAAATCTTTCTTTTTGTGCTCACCCATGTAGCAAATATTTATTGAGCATTCACCATAACCCATGCACTCTTCTGCTAAGATCAATTAACTAAGGCGGTGAAATAAGCCAATATTTATATTGGGTGAAATGTATGCTACCTTCAACAGAACTGCTAACTTAGAAATTATTAAGACCAGCATGACCAATATATGTGACACCTAAACAAAGTAGTTTGCTGCCCATACCAGTGTGATCTGGTAAACAATCCAATTCCTACCTAATTCAAAATAGTTACCCAGTATTTTGCTTGTTTGCCTAACATGCCCACCTTTACCCTCATTATTATTTTTAAGACAAGGTTTTTGAACTAGCAGTCCACGGAAAACTATGTCCCACCAAACCTAAAGAATTCATTACTGGAGCTGCACAAGAAATACTAAAAGGACCTCTTCAGGCTGGAGAAATCTTTTCCTACTTGAACCAGAAAGAAATAAGCAGAAGAGAGAGTGTGTCTGTATAAAATATATATATATATAAGAAGAGGAGCAAATATATGTATACATGTAAAAAGAAGAAAATGTTTACCATTGACTTTAGAAAGTAATAATCATGGGGGACACCTGGGTGGCTCAGTCAGTTGGGCATCTGGCTCTTGATTTTCACTCAGGTCATGATCTCATGGTTCATGGGTTCCAGCTCTGGGCTAACAGCAAGGAGCCTGCTTATGATTCTCTCTCCCTCTTTCTCTCTCTCACTGCCCCTCCCCACTCATGAATCTCTGTCTCTCTCTCAAAATAAATAAGTAAACTTAAAAAAAAAGAAGGACGAGGCACCTGGGTGGCTCAGGTGGTTAAGCATCTGACTTCGGCTCAGGTCATGATTACACGGCTTGTGAGTTTGAGCCTCACATCAGGCTCTGTGCTGACAGCTCAGAGCCTGGAGCCTGCTTCGGATTCTGTGTCTCCCTCTCTTTCTGCCCCTCCCCCATTCATCCTCTGTCTCTGTCTCTCAAAAATAAATGTTAAAATAATTTTTAAAAATAAATAAATAAAATTTTAAAAAGAATGATGAAAGAGTGTAATGAGTCTTCAAATTTTTTAGTTTACAATAAAAAATAAAAGTAATAAAGGTAATATAAGCCATGTAACTATAAGTATAAATGCTGACCTTCTAGAGTATAAATTCAATTAAAATAACTACATATATCTATGTATACATAGATAGAAACAGATATAAATGTAAAGATATATACCTAACTAAAAAGCTAGTAGAAGAGAAAAGTGGAATTATAAAAAATAATGAACCCAAAAGAAAAGAAGGAAAGAATCAAATCTCAGGGGGAGCCACCAAAAAAAAAAAAAAAAACCTAATTTAAATTATTAATAAGAAGATATGACACAGATATGTTTAAAATTTTATTTTAATGTTTATTTATTTTCGAGAGAGAGACAGAGTGTAAGTGGGGGAGGGGCAAAGAGAGAGGGAGACGCAGGATCTGAAGCAGGCTCCAGGCTCCGATGCGGGGCCGGAACCCACGAACCACGAGATCATGACCTGAGCCCAAGTCAGAGGCTTAACCGACTGAGCCACCCAGGCGCCCCAGATATGACACAGATATAATTAAAAAGCTAACAGAGGAGAAAATGGAATAATTAAAATAATTCAAAAGAAAGCAAGAAAGGATACCGGGACAAAGGGCAGAACTTTGAAATAAAGTGGCGAGACGGTGGGCATACATTCAACTATATCAACAATTACATTAAAGTGACTAACTAAAAGGAAATTCAGTGTAAATATTATCAGACTGAAATAAAACGCAAGACTCAACTATATGCTGTTGGAAACTAACACACACGGATTGACCTAAAAACCTTGAAAATGAAAGGATAGAAGAATAAAGACTGCAAGCACAAAGGGAAAGAAAACTGCATTGCTCTAATACCATAAAAAAAAGCAGACTTCAAGTGAAGATTACCAGAATTATAATATTTTAAAAAAAAACATTAAAAAAGCAGACTTCAAGTGAAGAATTATTACCAGAATTAGAATATAAGAATAAGAATTCTTAAATAAGAATTATTTAATTTCATAATTAAAAGGACAAGTTCAGGGGCACCTGGGTGGCTTAGTCGGTTAAGGGTCTGACTTCGGCTCAGGTCATGATCTCACGGTTTGTGAGTTCAAGCCCCATGTCGGGCTCTGTGCTGACAGCTCAGAGCCTGGAGTCCGCTTCGGATTCTGTGTCTCCCTGGCTCTCTGCTCCTCCCCCATTCATGCTCTGTTTCTCCCTGTCTCGATAATAAATAAACATAATTTTTTTTTTAAAAAGGACCAGGACCAGTTCAATAGGACAATGTAAACATCCTAAATGTGTATGCAGGTACACATTTGTGTACATGTGTATCTTGAAAGTATATTATTACCTTTTTTTTTCACACACAACTCCACAACCCCCATAGCGTATAACCCACAACCCCGCAACCTGTAATACTACAAACACTAAAACAAGCACCCAACTATCAACACGATCAAAACACAATACACATATTCCATGCCAATCACGTAGTATTCATAGATACCAAAACATTAACAACAATAATCAAGCATTGTACTATTAAAATATACCATGTATGTGACACATTAACCAACCAGTTCCCCACAACCACCAAACACGCACATAAGTGCTATGCTACAAAGACACACCACGCAAACCACACATAACCAACCGCCCCCGCAAATATTAATGTGCTTATGTAAATGTAATGTACTAAGATATACTATGTATATCGTGCATTAATTGACAGTCCCCATGAATATTAAGCATGTACAATATACTCATGATATTACATAAGACATATAGTGTATAACGTGCATAAGACTAGTTTGACCAACTTAACTCTATGGATCTCAATTATCCAAGAGCTTGATAACCATGCCTCGAGAAACCAGCAACCCTTGCTTGGGCGTGTATCTCTTCTCGCTCCGGGCCCATTTCAACGTGGGGGTTTCTATACCGAAACTATACCTGGCATCTGGTTCTTACTTCAGGGTCATTACGAACCTCAATCCAATCCTTCATCTATTTCAAATGGGACATCTCGATGGATTAATGACTAATCAGCCCATGATCTCACATAACTGTGGTGTCATGCATTGGTATCTTTTAATTTTTGGGGGGGGGGGGACTTTCTATGACTCAGCTATGACCGTAGACGGTCTCGACACGCCAAGCAGTATTGTAGCTGGACTTATTCACTATGCTAGCACTCCGCATCTCACCATACAAGGTGTTATTCAGTCAATGGTTACAGGACATATACTTCAACCCTAATGATCAACCGGGGCAGACAAGGCGCACCCACGTATACGCGCACACGTACACACGTACGCACGGACACACACGCACACGTACACACGTACGCATGCACACCCACGCACACACGTACGCATGCACACCCACGCACACACGTACGCATGCACACCCACGCACACGTACACACGTACGCACGCACACGTACACACACGCATGTACGCGCGTATATCCAACAGATAAACAACTAGCTTAAACAAACCCCCCTTAACCCCCGTAACCCTATGACATAAAAATGCGTTTATTATTGTCTTGCCAAACCCCAAAAACAAGACTAAACACATATTCAATCATAAGGCCCGAGCGCAGATCTAAGACCCCTACAACCCAATAAATACCAAATCTAAGCATCTGCATTATCCTAGCTGTTCGTGGATATCTATAGATATATGTTGCTCGCTCTAACTCGTCCCTATCTAACCCCTTTTATAACCACAACATAGACCACTACAACCCAAGCATGCAAAATTAACGTTAATGTAGCTTAAACACGCAAAGCAAGGCACTGAAAATGCCTAGATGAATCGTCAGATTCCATAAACACAAAGGTCTGGTCCTGGCCTTTCCATTAGTTATTAACAGGATTACACATGCAAGCCTCCGCATCCCGGTGAAAAATGCCCTCTAAATCGCCAACCGACCTAAAGGATCGGGCATCAAGCACACACATACGTAGCTTATGACGCCTTGCTTAGCCACACCCCCACGGTATATTATTACCTTCAAGATAAAGGAAGCAGCAGATAAATCCAAAAACACAGCTGGAGATTTGACACATCCCTGGAACTCGCTGTGGGAACAGACACAAACGGGCAGAACACGATGAGATTAACAAACCTGGCTCAGTCAAGATGAGGTTAATTAATCTTAGTTGATTAATGCAGAACGCAGAGCAGCCTGATGAACTAACTTGACCTGGCGCAGGAAACACCACGCCCAACAACAACGGCAGACTAGGCATCCTTTTCACTGTGAATGGAGAATTCAGCAAAATAGGCTGAATGGTAAACAGTAAATCGAGTCTCAGCAAATTCCAGAAGACTGGAGTGACACTAAGCATGTTCTCTTAAAGCCAGTGGAATCACACGGGAATGAAGAGGACCGGGAAACCCCCTACTCTTCGGAAATGCAGCGATATTCTTCTACATGGCTCATGCGCCGAAGGAGTCATCACAGCAAAATGTATAAAATGTTTTGGACTGAAGGGTAATAAAAATACAATATACTAATACTTGTGGATTTTGCGGAGAGGGGAAACTGTAGCCTCAAATGCTTATATTAGAAAAGAAGTGCTATTGAAAATTAGTTAGCTAGGGGCGCCTGGGTGGCTTAGTCGGTTGAGCGTCCGACTTTCGCTTAGGTCATGATCTCGCGGTTCGTGGGTTCGAGCCCCGCGTCGGGCTCTGTGCTGACTGCCAGCTCGGAGCCTGGAGCCTGTTTCGGAGTCTGTGACTCCCTCTCTCTCTGACCCTCCCCTGCTCACGCTGTCTCTCTCTCTCTCCTAGAAATAAATAAAATATTTAAAAAAGAAAAAAGAAAAGAAAATTAGTTAGCTAAGGTTCTACTGCAACAAGCCAGAGAAAGAACAGAAAATTCAACAAGAGAAGGTAGAAGCAACTAAATTATAAATGTAAGAGCAGAAATTAATTAATAGAAGTCAAAATCAATACACTAGGGAAAATCAATAAGCCTAGAAGAAAATCAACAAACAAAAGTTGGTACTTTGAAAAATAAAAAATGACTTTAATAAAAAAGGCTAGTAAAGAGAAAAGGTAAAGATTGGCAGGGGTAATAATGGAGATCAAGGAAGTGCTGGAACATGGAATGGGGTCCAGGGGGTCAGCTGATGGAGACAAGGGCACGCTGAAGGCGAGAAACAGTGTCCTGTCCAACATCCGGTGCTTCTTCCCCTCAGAGCCACAAGGTGGCGCCAAACCTCCAGACTTTCCTCCAACTGCTCCTCTGGCCAGGACGAGTGGTCTTGGAAGCCTTGATGCTTCCGAAAGCCTAACGCTCCTGCCTGGACTTTTTCCAGCAAAATGCATAGTTTCCTTCCTTCGGTACCTTACTTCTCAACTAAAATTCAGATCTAATTGGTGGAGTCTGCACCCTAGCTGAAATTCTTGTTACTTTTAGACTTATTTCTTTTTTATCTCTATTAAATAGTAATTCTACACCTTACCAGTTAGTAATTCATCATATTAAGTTTGCCCTGTTCAGATTACAGGTTCGGCTTCTGTCTCCCGCGTATCCTGACTGACACACTTTTTAAACATCAGGACTAAGCAGCATGTGTCTGATTTTGAACTGGACAGTCTGGTGTTTTGACCTTTCTGTCTAGTGTAGACTGTAACAGAACTATAAATGTTATTTTTAAAAGATTACATAAGACTATTATAGGTTATAATGTGGCCCACATGCATAGAAGTTATACAACTGAATGTAAAATATAAGTCAAATATTTTGCATCTCATAATTATTATAATTTGGGCTACACATTTTTATCAAATGATTCAATATGTTCCTTCCCTATGATTCTAAATTTTACAAATGGACACACTTCCTCTTTATGGTGCTCTATTCTCTTTTCCTGACAAGCATATTGGTTAAAATTTTAACATCTCAAGTGACCTTGCCTCCAATAAATACTTCCTCTGCAGCAGTTTGCATTTTGTTGAGTACTAACACTTTCCAGGACAGACTCAGGCACAAAAGACAGCACACTCCATGATTCCGTTTATCTGAAGTCCAAGAACAGGTAAATCCCATCAGAGAGTCCAAGGGGCCATAGCGGGTGTTTCACATCTACTTAACTCGGCTACAGTCCTCATCTACCAGACACTAAGTGTTGCTGTAACATGATTAACATCTACAGTCAGTTGACTTTAAATAAATGAGCATATCCTCCAAAATCTGGGTGGGCTTTAAAACAGAACTGAGGTTTTCCTGAGGAAGAAGAAATTCCACCTGTGGCCTGGAGCATGAGCTCCTGGTGCCCTCTGGGCTCAGATTTACACCCCCCCCCCCATTTCCTTGCTACTCAAAGAGATAAAGATGCAGGCAGATAGACATGGGTCTATCATCTAGTGCTCTAGGTATGTGTCTGTGTCCCTATGTCTACCTACCTACCTATCTAACTATGACTGAATGTCTGTGTCCTCTCGAAATCCCAATGTTGAAACCCTACCCCCAATGTGACGTATCAGGAGTTGGGGCCTTTGGGAGGTAATCAGGGTTAGATGAGGTCATAGGTCTCTGCCCTCAAGAATGAGATTAGTGCCTTTAGAAGAGTCACCAGAGAGCTTGCTTCCTCTCTCTAGGGCAAATGGAGTGCACAGTGACAGGCACTGTGATGGTGACATCTATGAAAGAGGAAGATGCTATCGCCAGACACCAAATATTCCAGTGCCTTGACCTTGGACTCCCCAGCCTTTGGAATTGTGAAAATAAGTGTTTGCTTTGTAAACCACCCAGTCTGTGGTATTTTTTTTATAGCATCCTAAGCTAATCCTATAATATAAATATAAATGTGAATACAGATATGAATATACATATATACATAACTTCTAGAATGACAGAAATGTTCTAGATCTACATTTGGGCAGTAGTTACAAAGGTTATAAAAGTTTTCAAAATTTAGTTTTATCATCTGTGTGGGGAAAAAAATAAAGAAATAAACCTCCCATCACCATTCCCCAAAATTAATTTTATGTGGACCACAGATCTAATTATGAAATCTAAAATTATGAAATTTTTACAAGGAAATTTTGGAGAATATCTTCATTTACATATATATTATATACACACATATATATATTGAACAGATATATATTCCTTCTCCAAAAATTAAACAGACCTGTAATGATAAAAATGGCCCTTTTTTCTGTTTATATATATATGTATATAGTGAAGATATATATATTATATAAATTCTGTATAATATTAACTTATATAAAGTATCTTATATATTATATAATCATTCACTCCTACACCTCAATAGTTAAGAAAACAACCTGATATTTGAACAGACTGCCAAAAAGGAAAATATACAAATGATTAATAGGGACCCAGTCTCAGGGCGCCTGGGTGGCTCAGTCGGTTAAGCATCTGGCTTCGCTCAGGTCGTGATCTCGTGTTTGTGGGTTCGAGCCCCGCGTCAGGCTCTGTGTTGACTGCCAGCTCAGAGCCTGGAGTCTGTTTCTGATTCTGTGTCTCCCTCTCTCTCTGACCTTCCCTTGCTCACGCTGTCTCTCTCTCAGAAATAAATAAAACATTAAAATTTAAAAAAAAAAATAGGGACCCAGTCTCAACATGATTAGTCATCAGGGAAGAGGAGCCAATACACAACACTCTAAGGGCTAAAAATTAGAAGGACTAAAGACACCAAATGTCACACAGGCTGTGAAGCAGCTAGAACGTTCCCAGCTTGCTTGTTAGAGCGTAAAACGGCAGAGTCACCCTTGTAGTTTCTTATAAAAGTCCACATGCACCTATTCTGTAATATATGTGCCCAAAAAGAGACTTCCACCACCAAGTTCATATTTTATCCATAACAGCCCCAAATTGGAAACAACTGAAATATCCATCAAGAGGAGAATGGGTAAGTATGTAAATATATTATTTTTGTATGATACAATACTACTCCACAATAAAAGGAAGAAACTAATGATAAATGCAATAACATTGGTAAACCTTTAAAAACATCATGGTATGCAGGAAAAATTAGACACAAAAGTAGATGAATTACAGCCCCCTTCCCATCACTGAATTGTCTCTGTATTTTTGTCAAAAAATAATTAGGGTAGAATAGAAATGTGGATCTACTTCTGGGCTCTATTTTTTTCTTTTGTTCTCTGTGTCTATTCTTTACACAATTATAAATACCACACTTTCATG